CTGTGCTTGTGCTGGCGGCGGGCTGGCGGAGGTACCGTTACCAGAGGCCAGCCGGGAGCGCCTTCACGAGGTTCGCGCAGGTGATTGTGGCGGCGGTTAGGAATCGTGTTGTGGAAGTTGGTGGTGGGCTTTATGAGGTGGAGGAGAGTAAGGAGTGTGAGATTCATGGGGCTACCAAGCTTGCTCACACTCAACAGTACAGGTTGGTTGGTTGGTTTGCTGCATCAATTGATAAAAGGCTTGTCATTTTGCTGTTGAGTTTTCATTGAACTGAGTAAATAAAAATGGCCAAATATTCAAATATTTCACGAAATGCAGATTTCTGGACAAAGCAGCTGTAGTAACCGACCCGGCCCACGCGGCCGCAGGCACGAGGAACCAGTGGCGGCTGTGCACGGTGACCCAGGTGGAGGAGCTCAAGTGCATTGTCCGTATCATCCCCGTGTGGGCCTCCACAATCGCCCTCGCCATCTCCTACTCCCAGATCTCCACCTTCTTCGTGGCCCAGGCGGCCACCATGGACCGCTCCCTCTCCCCAACATTCTCCATCCCCGCCGGCTCCACACCAGTCTTCAGCGCCGTCAACGCCCTCCTCGTCGTCCCCCTCTACGAGCGACTCGCCGTCCCCCTCCTCCGCGCCCGCACCGGCCACCCCCGCGGCATCACCTCACTCCAGCGCATCGGCGCCGGCCTCCTTGTCTCCGTCCCCGCCATGGTTTCCGCCGCCGTCGTCGAGCGGAACCGTAGGTCCACGGCGGGTGGCCCCCGGCCGAGCGTGTTCTGGCTCTTCCCGCAGTGCTTCCTGATGGGGATGGCGGAGGTGCTGGCGTACGTCGGACAGCTGGAGTTCTTCTACGACGAGGCCACCGACGGGACCAGGAGCATCAGCAGCGCCGTGTTCCTCAGTGAGTTCGGGATAGGGAGCTGGCTGAGCTCCGCCCTGGTCGAGATCGTGGGGAGGACCACCGGCGGGGCGGCGGAGGGGTGGCTGAGGGACGACTTGAACCAGAGCAGGCTGGATAATTTCTACTGGCTGCTGGCGGGGATCAATGTGGTGAACTTCGCCGTGTATTTGTGGGTTGCGCGGAGGTACAAGGGGAGGAGGGTGGCTGAGCCGGCAGTGGCGGCGGCGGAAGAATTGGGCGGTGGAGTTGGGCTTCAGAATGGTAAGGGAGAAGAAAGTATATGAACTATTTTAACCTAGAGTGAATTGATTGGACCTTAGTCAGCTGCAATGCGCAGTCATTTAATTGGGCTTATATCTTATTTTGGGCCTTTAATTTTATCGTCCTACTATGGCTGTATCCTCTATTCTGTCTGCTAACTCATGGGAAAAGACTAAGGCTAATAAACGTACATTTTTTTGTTTTTTGTTTTTTGTTTTTGTTTTGGATCCGTAATAAAACTTACATTTATTTATTTATTTATTTATTATTATTATAGGCTCTCTAGCTGTAAGTTTGATCATCATATTGTCGTTTACCAAAAGAAAAAAAAAAAAAAAAAAGATCATGCGATTTGTATTTTGTAACCATTGGAGCAAACAATAATCACCGTTAGATTCCCAAAATATAAAAATCCTACAGCATCTAACCACTGGATACATCACTATCTTTTACTAATTGCCAAATAACAAAATTAAAAATTATTAGTAACTAGTATTTTTTAGCATTTCATCATGTAATTTATTTGTATATAAATTTTATTTATTTATTTATTTATTTTTATATTTAGCGTTCTTTTCAGAATGAAGTTATTCTCGACCTGATATACACAATTGGGGCAACTTATGATATATTTCCATTATAATGATTGTACTATAAAACCTTAGGATTAGATATGGTCATTGCCGGGCCGTGGCCGCGGCCCGACCCGGCCCGGCGGGTCAACGGGCCTCAATGTCATGACTCATGACCGGCCCACCCAGGGGCGGATCTAGAAATTTGCATGAGTGGAGCCTAAATATTTAGAGATTGGGTTTGTGTATAATATTTTTTTTAAAAAAAAAAAAAATTGTCTCATATGAAAATAGAGATAATTAAGAAAAGAGAGATATATTTGATAGGGTCCGAACTATCACGGTTTTGGCGCATCACTATAGAAACTATTTTTTTTACAAACTACCATATGAACTATACAAGTTTGTCAATGTGCCCCTAAACCAGATATAAAAGTGGTTTTCACTGAAAAAACTGTTTGGTCATCATATGTGCTCCCTAAATAATTTTACAAACTACCTACAGGGGCGAAACTACACATTCCCTTGGAGAGGCGCCGGCCCCTCCAAAAAAAAGAAAAATTTAAACTAGGGGTGGAGAATTTTGCTGCAACTGGAAGATTTTCCTTTGAGCGCCCATGTTGGGCCCTCCCCAGTTTCATGCGGTACATACATGGCCGGAGGGGCGCCACCGATTTTGTCGTAAAATTTTTTTTTAAAGGCAAATTGGGCCCTCTCCCGAAACGGGATCCTGGTTTCGGGACATAGAGAACTATAACAGCAGCAGAATTTAATAATTTTTTTATTTTTATTATATTTTGAGTTAGTTAATTAGTCGACTTGCGGTGTACCGACGGGACTCAAAAACTGAGTCGATCATTACCGAAAAATACTTTTATAAAAGTACGGGAAGCGGAGAGTGCGTTGGTGGCATCGATTTATGATTTTGAGGTCCCGACCATTTATTTTGGGTAGCCCGAAGTTGAGAGAAAAATGGCAGTGGCGGTGATTTTATTGTCATTTTCATGTCTAGACTTCGGGTAACCGCCGGCCCTCGTTAGGGGTGCTGAAAATTAGCGAGAGTGCTTTCTTGAAAGCACGAGAATAGTACAAGCCGTTCATAAAATTTATTTCACGTTTTGAAGTTTCGAGCATTTATTTTGAGAAGCTCGAAGTCGAGTGCGCATAATAGAAGAACAAAAGCCGTTTTGCGGGGTTCCGTAAGGTTGCGTGTGACCTCGGTTTAACGAGAATCGAGTTGGAGCGTGTAGACAATTCAAGCACGATTCCATACGGACAAATTTTTCATTTTTCGGAGTTACGAGCAATTATTATGGGAGTTTGAATTTCTGCGTTAAATAGTATCAAAAGGAGCAAATTTGTCGAGGACGAGTTCGATCGTTCGAGGCTTCGTTTTCTCAATTTTTCAGCTTTTCGTCTATTCGAAAGGAGGTATAATTCTTGATTATTATTATAATTGAGTCCGAGATTTTTATTAGTATAAATTCGAGTATTTTTCGAATTAAAATAATTCAGTTTAATTCCGGATTTAGTTTGATTTTTAGAAAAATCCCTAGAGTATTCCTTTATATCCTGCAAAAATTTATGAGAGCGTCCACAAAAGCCCTTTGAGCGCCCTTCCAATGCCAGAGTGGGGGTGGTGCGCCGCGGGATGGCCGGAGTGGGGGTGGTGCGCCGCGGCAAATTGGGCCCTCCCCGGGATGACCGGCTGGTTTCGCCACTGACTACCTATGAACTATTACGGGTTTGTCAATATGAACTACTACTTTTATATTCGGTTTAGGAGGCATATTGACAAGCCCGTATAGTTCATATGGTGGTTTGTAAAAAAAAAAAAAAAAGTTTATATCGTGATGCGCCAAAACGTGATAGTTCGAATGAGAAAAAGTATTTTACCCTATTTGAAATTATGAATGAATACAAGATCAAAATATAATGATCAACAAATGAAAATATGTTAGTGAATTAAATTTGTTGTATTTTAATTGTGTTACTTGTAGATAAAAAGATGGAATGAAATAAATAGTGTTTTTATGATTTTTTTTTATTATTTTCTTAGTTCCAATAAGATAAATCTTGAGAATGAGTAGAAAATAAAAAAGTCATATATACAATTGATATTTCTCATTTTATTTTTTTTTTTATTTTTTAAAAATAGATTAATTATTATCATTAATATAATTTATAGTTATTTTCATGGAAACTTGTATATTTATGTGAAATAGTAATTAACTAAAATTTGGGATCAAATTTAGAATGATTCATGAGGAAACTTGTATATTGATGTGAAATATTAATTAACTAAAAATTTTGGGATCAAAATTAGAGTGATTCATTTGGAAACTTACATGTTTATGTGAATATTTAACCAAAAATTTTAGAATCAATTTAACTATGTAAGTGAATTAATTAGCATAGATAAGAAAGATTTTAATTTTTCCTTTTTATTATAAGTCATATTAAGTAATTAATAATTATATAATAAGTTCAAATTAAAGCAAAATGAGATAAATAGTGTCTATTCCTAAAACTAAAAATAAATAAAAAGTAATTCAAGGTGGATAAACAAAATGAAATAAGTCATTTTATAATTTGGAGAGAGATGTACATTTATACTTCCCAAATACACTATAATCTAAATTAAATCCTCATTGGTTAATTTATGTATAATTCTATGCACCATATGGAAAATTGAGTGTGGGCCTAGGCCCACACTAGTCCCTCGGCTTAAGGACATAACTAACCCTCACATAAAACAAAATTCCATTTAGAAAACCGAGTATATGGAATTCCAAAATTACTCCAACAGGTAGTTACATATTAAATTAACTGCCAATAATAGTTACATATTAAATTAAAAATTAAAAACTTAAATAAATATTTTTTTTATTCTATCTCTTCG